CCTTTTAAGACTTCACTTCAAAGAGAATCCTCAGAACTGTCATTCATGCTTAAATTCGACCCTTTACACTCAAATTTGAATAAAGACGCTAATTATCTTACCCATTACAAAGATAGCTTCCCCAGTTATCACCCCTAATATCATTAGCTCACAGACATTTACCTCCCCCCCTTCCCCCCCCTCCATCCCAATTCTGTTCTAAAATTTGATTTGTCCTTTTCATATGTGTTCATTTTTTTATTTGTATCCTTTGGTATAAATGGTTGTGACAATTTTCTTCCACTATTTGATCTGAGGAAGTGGGTTTGGCCCATGAAAGCTCATCATCTAATAAACCATCTTGTCAGTCTTTAAAGTGCTACATAGTCCTCTTGTTTGTAGTTCTCATCAGTAACTTTCATCATACTGTAAAAACACTGAGTAGACTTGAAGCACCTTAGGGTACGTCTATACTACATGGAAAATTGAAGCTGCCACTGTTGAGCTTTCAGGGATTGAATTAGAGGGGGTAGTGAAGACATGCTAATTTGAACTGAGAGGGGTGCTCTGGTCAATGCCGGTTGTCCTGCTTCCATGAGGAGTAAGAGAAGCCAAATAGAGAGTGTGCTCCCTTTGACGTCCTGCTAAATTTCTAAGTGAAGTGCTATGCCGAACTCTTTCTTACTCCTCGGGCAACGATGCTTACAGGAAGCCGGAATAAGATGCCCGTTCTTTCGAATATATTTCTAAATAACAGGCTTGTTGTCTACACAGTGCCGAAGGCTATTTCAGGAGTAGACGTACCCTCTGAAACTAACAAAAATACATCGTGTCATGAGCTTCGTGGGTAAGACCCACTTCATCAAACACACGAAAATTCATCATGATAAGGCTTTGTGGACATGGGAAAGTCAGTGGATGTGATACACTTGACTACAGCAAAGCTTTTGATACGGTCTCCCACAGTATTCTTGCCAGCAAGTTAAGGGAATGTGGATTGGATAAATGGACGGTAAGATGGATAGACAGCTGGCTAGATTGTTGGCCCCAACGGGTAGTGATCAACATCTCGATGTCAGGTTGGTGGTCAGTTTCTAGCAGAGTGCCCCAAGGATCGGCTCTTGGGCTGATTTTGTTCAATCTCTTTATTGATGATTTGGATGAGGGGATGGATTACACCTTCAGCAAGTTTGTGGATGACACTAAGCTAGGGGGAGAGGTAGATACGTTGGAGGGCAGGGATAGGGTCCTGAGTGACCTGGACAGATTGGCGGATTGGGCAAAAGAGATCTGATGAAGTTCAGCAAGGACAAGTGCGGAGTCCTGCACTTGCAACAGAAGAATCCCAGACATTGTTACAGGCTGGGGACTGACTGGCTAAGTAGCAGTTTTACAGAAAAAGGCCTGGGAATAACAGAGGATGAGAAGTTGGCTATGAGTCAACAGTGTGCCCTTGTAGCCAAGAAGGCTAATGGCATATTAGGGTGCATTAGGAGGAGCATTGCCAGCAGATTTAGAGTGTCTCATTAGCATAATTTCTGCCAGAAGAACTCGCAGAGACGACATAGCCTAAGATGCCACAGGACCACTCGTTGTTTTTCCAGTAACAATGCCCATTGTGCTAGGCGAGCATTTGAGACGGGGTCGTATTTTACCTGATTGGGCAGAAAAAAATCTGCAAGGAGAGGCTATGATGTCATGACTGGGCCGGGGCCAATGCGAAAACCAAAGTGTTGTGTGGTGCAAGTGGTGGCCAATAGACACTTTTCATCATTGTTTTACCTGAGCACAAGGGGTGACGTTAAACGTGAGGCTTTGGCTACAGGTCAGCTTGGGCAGTTATTGCTTTGAACGGCATAATGGAACTGTAGCACTGGAAGGGTCCTTGGGAAGCAAGCTAGCCCAATCCCCAATGCTGAGGCAGGCCTCATTGGTGTTTGTCCAGCTTGTGCGTAAACCGCCCATGACAGGGATTCCACCACCTCCCAAAGTGACCTGTCATTGATACTGGCCGTTGGAAAGTTCTCCTCATAGTGACCTTCTCTCTCCCTCGCTCGGCTCATTTTCCCCCGTGATGTGTTCATCCCACGATAGCTGACCTGTGTGCTGTGAAGCTGTCACGTTACTGGATTTTGAGGGGTGCAGCCAGATCACTGCTGCACTCATGCGGGGGTGTTGGCCCCAAAAGTGGCACAGAGGGGGCCATGTGGGGTGTCCAATAGAAGCCTACTTTCTTCTGATTCCATATATGCTATTCATGTGATTGTATAATGTCAGTATGTGAAGTTAGAAGCATGTATTTTGTGTGGATACCATATGTTTCTCTATATGTGGTTGAGCTATGGGCAAAGCAGCTCAGCCTATGGACATGTTAACGAGCAAAGTTCTGGAACAATAGCCCTCTATAGGCCAAGGACACACCTCAAGAGTGGTGACTCATGCCTAAGGTCTACCAGCAGGGAACACAGGGATAGACCATGGGCCAGGTGACCTGCTGTAGCCAAGAAGAGACCAGAAAGGAGGGATAAATAGGCCATGTGGTCGACTCCATCTTGGTTCACAGCTCAGCACTTCATCCCAGAGGCAGCATTGCAGGGATCGAAGAGCCGGAAGGACCTGTGGACCCATCCTGATCCTAGGATGAGCAACAAGGACTTTTAAGCCAGCAGCTGTAACATCTCTGCTAGAGCCTGCATCAAGAACTGGGAGATTCGATGCATGTAATGTACTATCCTTTAACAACCTTACTCTCATGCTTTTCTTTCTTGTGGTAATAAACCTTTAGATGTTAGATGCTAAAGGATTGGCTCAGCGTGATTTGTGGGTAAGATCCAGAGGGTAAATTGGCTGGGATCTGTGGCTGGTTTCTTGGAACTGGACAGAACTCTTTCGGGGTAGGTGGGATTGGGTTCTAAGACCCCCCCCCACCTGTATATGAGGCCCGGGGCCATCTGGGGCACAGATATTGCTGGGGTGTCAGAGGGGTTTTGCTCGTGAGGCTTCAGGCAGGCAGCTGAAGTGCTCTGTGGGACTGGTTTGTGGCCTGTTTGGAGAAGTCACCAGTCTTGGGGCTGTAAGGAGCCCCGAATTTGAGCAATTCGCCCTGAGCGGATGCCCTCAGCTGTGCCCAGACACGGCACGGTCCGTCACAGAAGCGTGCCTGGCCCTGTCAGAGTCCCTGGAGTGAACAATCTGCCGGGACTGAGCTCAGGCCAAAGCGCATCACCTCCGGATTGACAGGCACACAGGTCTTGCCCCTGGAGAAGTGGCAGCAGATAGAGTCCTAAACCCTCAGAAGAACCCTTTGTGGACCCCGAGAATCAGTGGCATACCAACCATGAAATGGCCGACTTTCCTTTTTCTCCCAGGGCCCTAGGGTTACAATGGGCCCCCCACATTCTGGAGTCTTAAACCATATTCAACTCTTTGAGCCAGGGTTTGGTCCTATCAGCCTCCCTAAAGATGTAAATCCCCCAAGTTTTGTGCCCAAGCTCTGCTTACAGCACACTCCCTAGCCCCCGACTGAGCTCTTAGCAGCCACCCAGCTTGAATGTGGAATGGGATGTCCCACCTTCAGCCTTTGGGATGGAGAATTCGCTTATAAACAGAGCTGGAAGGATGACCATAAAAAAAGCTGCCCATTTAATTAAATTAAGGATGAGCTTGCATGCATAGCCAGGCACTCCAGATTTAAAACAAAAAAAGGAGGAAACAAAGAGTGTGAATAGACGATTCGCTTTCAGAATGGAGCGAGGTAACTAGTGGTGTCCCCAATGGGTCTGGTCTGAAACCAGAGCTGTTCAACATATTCATAAATGATCAAGACAGTGGGGTAAACTCTGAGGTGTCAATGTTTGCAGATGATACAAAAACCGTACGAGATAGATAAGTAACAAGCTGACTGCAAGGAGTTACAAAGGGATCTCACACAACTGGGTGATTGGGAAACAAAATGGCAGGAGAAATTCAGGGTTGATGACCGTAAATGAATGTGTGTGGAAAATATAATCCCAGCTCTGTATACAAAATAAGAGGGTTCACACTCCAGGAACAGGTCTTGGAGACAGTGTGGCCAATTCTTTGAAAACATCTGCCACATGTAGGATGGTTTTCAAAAAGGCAAACAGAATATTGGGAATCAATAGGCTAAAATGTCCCAGCCTGTTCATACTATGCTCCTATTTTAGCCATTTTAACCATCGATTCCCTGTTAATGTAGGATTAAACAAAGACTATGAATGGCTAGCCAACTACAAAAGCAGGTTCTCGACTCTTGGCATTTATACCTCCACATCAGCTGCTAGAAGTGGGTCTCATCCTCCCTGACTGAACTGACCATGTTACCTCTAACCTTATTCTTGACTGGTACACTTTTCTGATGCCTGTATATTTACACCCGCCTCTGGAATTTCCACTACGTGCATCTGATGAAGTGGGTCTTTGCCCACAAAAGATTATGCTCCAATAAATCTGCCAGTGTATAAGGTGCCACAGGACTCCTCATTGTTACCAGCAAAGACAATGATGTGGCTGGAGCACATGACCTACAAGGAGAGGCTGAGGGATTTGGGCTTCTTTAGTCTGCAGAAGAGAAGAGTGAGGGGGGATTTGAGAGCAGCCTTCAACTCCCAGAAGGGAGGTTCCAAAGAGGATGGAGAGAGGCTGTTCTCAGTGGGGGCAGGTGGCAGAACGAGGAGCAATGGGCTCAAGTTGCAATGGGGGAGGTCTAGTTTGAACATTAGAGAAAAAAACCTATTTCCCTAGGAGGGTGGGGAAGCACTGAGATGGGTTCCCTAGAGCGGTGGTGGAATCTCCATCCCTACAGGTTTTTAAGTCCCGGCTTGACAAAGCCCTGGCTGGGATGATTTAGTTGGGGTTGGTCCTGCTTTGGGCAGGGGGCTGGACTCGGTGACTCCTGAGGTCTCTTCCAGCCCTAGGATTCTATGATTCTCTGAATTTGAAAGGTGACACCTTTTATCATATGGAACTCCGTATGCGGTCTACAACCCCAGGTGAAATCTTTATGTCTTTTTCTGAGTAAAGAAGCGGAGCACTCTGTCCTGAATCTGTCTGGTCTTCATCCCGTAGATGATGGGGTTCAGCATGGGGGGCACCAGGAGATACACATTGGCCATGAGAACATGGAAATGCAGAGCCACATTGTGGCCAAATCGGTGCGTGAGGAAGGAGAAGAGAGCGGGGATATAAAAGGCTAAGATGGCACAAATGTGGGAGCTGCAAGTTCCAAAAGTTTTGAGCCGGGTGTCTTTGGTGGGGAGCCTGAAGATGGCCCTGAGGATCTGGATATAGGACATGGCAATAAAAAACACATCCAGACCCGTCACTAAGAATAGCACAAAGAGAGCATAGTAACTACTGACATGGATGTCAGCACAGGCCAGTTTCACAACAGCCATGTGCTCACAGTAGGTGTGGAGGATGATGTTGGTTCTGCAATATGGCCACTGACGTGCAAGGAAGGGAAAGGGCAGTATGAGCATGCAACTACGCAGCACCACAGCCAGGCCTATGTGGACCACCTTGGAGTTTGTCAGGATGGTGGAATGTCTCAGGGGATCACAAATGGCCACGTAGCGATCCACAGCCATGGCCACAAATATCCCAGACTCTACCGCTAAGAAGGTGTGAATGAAGAACAGCTGGGTGAGGCAGGCGCTGAAATCAATCTCCCTGGAACTGAACCAGAAAAGGCTCAATGTTTTAGGCAGGATGGACGTAGACAGGACCAGGTCGGTGACAGCCAGCATGCTGAGGAAATAGTACATGGGCTCATGGAGACTCGGCTCCCTCTTCACGATGAACAGGATGGTGAAGTTCCCCAAGATGGCTATGACGTAAATGATAAAGAAGGGGATCGAGATCCAGATATGAAGGTGGAGGGGTTGATGAAGTTGGTTGTGTTGAAATCTGACATGCTGTGGGGGAGAAGGTGTCCAAGTCTGAGGCAGAACGGTGTCTCCTGCGGGTACCGTGTGTTCCCTTGACTTCCTCTATGTGTCCAGGCTCTATGGTGATGGTCGTAGTACAAATACCTGAATGGAGAGACCGTGTTAACGAGATACCATGTACACTATGGGTGAAGAACATTGGTTACTCAAAAAGTGACCTTTTAATTATTTAGGGTGCATCTTGAAATAAGCTATGCAATTTGTGCTTATCAAATTGCATAACTTATTTCAAATGTATTTCAAAATGCAGCACTATTTTGAGACAACCCCTAAACCTCATGGAATGAGGGTTATGGGATGCTGGAATAGCGTACCCATTATTTTGAAATCTATTTCAAAATAACAGAGAACATGTAGAAGACCAGGGATAGATGTTTCGGGATACCTTTGGTCTCTCGAAATAGCCCTGTTGTCTAGACAGACCCTTTAGAGACATGAATTAAGAACAACTGACCCTTCTAATGCCAGTTCCATATTGGAGCTCCATGCATCAGCAATCCCTACACATTGTGGTGTGGGAAACCGTAATCGCACCAACAAGAGAAATGAGCATACGCACTGGTTACCCCTCAGCGTTGTTGTTACAAGGAAAGCCAGGCCACAGGATCCTTTCTGTAGGGAGCTAGGTGCTCTAAATCGGAGAGTGTAAAGAGAGATACCTTTAAGAATTCCCGAGGCGAGGGAAACATCCCAAAGAGAGCACCCCCAGGGAAAAGACTGTGTGTTACTGGATTCTGGTTCATTTTATGATCAGAATGTTTCAGATTGGTCATTTTCTGGATTCCAGATGTTTGCGTCTGAAATGTCACGGTATTCTAACTGTGCGGGCCCTGACCAAAGTGAGATCATGTGGAGGGGAGGGGAGTTTGAAAAGTTGTTGGAGTAAGTGGGTCCCAGTGCTACCTTCATTTTTGTGCAACCTTCAGAGCTGGGCTAGAATATATTCCTGGAAGTGGAGGGGGCTAATTCATGAGCCTCTGAAAAAATGGGTGCTCAAGCCATGGAAAAAATCCCAGAGGCTGTAGCCCCTACAGCCCGAGTCTCGGTATGAGACAGGGTGAAAGAAACTGGAGCAGGGCGGGCTGGAAGCCTGTGTAGAGCTGTTGGGGGAAGAAATCCTGAACTCTGCTCCCAGACTTGCACAGGCCTTGCAGGGGGAATCTCAGAACCCAGTGCTTATTTGAGGGTGTGCCGTGTGTCAATAATTCCTACACATCGAGGCGTGGGAAACCGTAATGGACACCAGCTGGAAGTACACAGAGTTATCCCTCGTGGTTTCGTTGCTTTACAGAACACAATCTAATGGTTCTATACTGTAGGGGCTGTGTCTAGACTGGCACGTTTTTCCGGAAAATCAGCCACTTTTCCGGAAAACTTGCCAGCTGTCTACACTGGCCACTTGAATTTCCGGAAAAGCACTGACGATCTTATGTAAGATCATCAGTGCTTTTCTGGAAATACTATGCTGCTCCCGTTCAGGCAAAAGTCTTTTTCCAAAAATGACCATTTTGCGAAAATGGCGATCGGGGCTTTTTTGCGGAAAAGCATGTCTAGATTGGCCATGGACGCTTTTCCGCAAAAAGAGCTTTTGCGGAAAAGCGTCCTGCCAATCTAGACGCGCTTTTCCGAAAATGCTTTTAACGGAAATCTTTTCCGTTAAAAGCATTTTCGGAAAATTATGCCAGTGTAGACGTAGCCTAAGGTGTTTCCCAGTCACCCAGCTGCTCAAAATCTGAGAGTGGGAAAAAAACGGAAACCTTTGCCGAGAGGTGCCAGTAGAAACGTCCCACCAAGACCACCCCTTGGGGAGCTGTGTGGCATTGATAGCAGAGTGGACATGCCTGCTCATTCGCAGCAGTGGCTAAAACAAAGACAAGGTTCACATGCCAAAGGAACGGGATGGAGAAAACTTGCTTTGGACCTGGGCTCCATTTTGGCCACCCCGTCTCTCTAAAGGATGAAGCAGATTGAAAGTGTCTGAGACAGGCTGTGAGAAGAGGGCAGGCTGCCAGCTGTGGACAGACTGAATGTCTAGGACTGTTTTCTGTAGAGAAGGGACAAATAAGGGGGCCTATGACAGAGGAGAGCATAATAAACCAAGTAACCGAATACGTTCCAGTTGACACTGAGAACCCTTTTCTCCCAATAACGTCTATAGACACTTGGTGTTTCAAAAACACCAATCCACCCCTCCCCTTCAAATTAGGCACATTATCAGCAAAGCTGATTGGCATATGACAGAGGAGAGGAAAATAAAGAATGGAACTGATTACATTCAAATGAGCAACAAGGGAAGAGTTCACAACCAGAAATATTTAAAAGCTTCAGGGGGTAGTTGAGTTAGTCTGTACGGGTATGTCTACACTGCCACCCTAGTTCGAACTAGGGTGGCTAATGTAGGCATTCAAAGTTGCAAATGAAGCTCAGGATTTAAATATCCCGGGCTTCATTTGCATCTTGCCGGGCGCAGCCATTTTTAAATCCCCCCTTAGTGCGGACTCCGTGCCTGCGGCTACATGCGGCACGGAGTAGGTAGTTCGAATTAGGCTCTCTAATTCAAACTACCAGTACTCGAGGTGTAACAGTAGTTCGAATTAGGCTCTCTAATTCGAACTACCGGTACTCGAGATGTAACGGTAGTTCGAATTGGAGAGCCTAATTTGAACTACCTACTCCGTGCCGCATGTAGCCACGGGCACGGAGTCCGCACTAAGGGACTTTTAAAAATGGCGGTGCCCGGCAAGATGCAAATGAAGCCCGGGATATTTAAATCCTGGGCTTCATTTGCAACTTCGAATGCCTACATTAGCCACCCTAGTTCGAACTAGGGTGGCAGTGTAGACATACCCTACAGGATAAACTTTAAAAACAAGAAATAGTCTGGTAGCACTTTAAAGACTAACAAAACATGTAGAGGGCACAGCCCACTTCTTCAGACGACCAGAGTGTTGGCTGTCCAGAACCCAATTTTTTATTTAAGACACCCAATGCTTCTGTTTAACTAAAAGCTACCCTCAGCCAGCCAGAGGAGGGCCTGTAGGGACGCACCGGCTTGGGAACCTTTTCTTTCTGGCCACAGAGTATACCTCTGGCACATAGGTGGTGCCTCTTGGGGTTTGATTTTCTCACTCTGGGGCGGACACTTGCTCCTCTGATCATCAATCTCATCTCTCAGTGCTTTATTTTCCTTATCTTTCAGTTTGAGGATATCTAATAACAGTATTACAGCCTTCTCTGTTTTGTTGCCTTTCTGCTAAGTCCCTCACTCTGATCCAGCTGAGGCATAGCCTGCCTTCTTAACAGCCACCTGCTGGATTCATATGTGTTTGTATTCTAAATATTCTCGTGGGTCAGCTCTGGCTTCCCTGTTGGATGTCTTGGCGTTTAATTGCTCCGATTGATGACTGAGGATGTGAGTCTCCCTCTTGGATCTTGTGTTCTTGAATCCCACAGATCAGTTGTCAGCTCTTTTGTGGAATGTACATCCTCCCCACCCCTATATACAACTTGCTGCCCAGTTTTGGGACGTGTGTCTCCCCCTTGAGTGCCATGCCTTTACGTTTACGGTCTTAGGTCAGCCTTAATTTGTGGATATGAGTCTCCCCCTACTGTATACAGCTTGTACCACTGTCTTAGTGCACACAATGCTGGCCTTGCTTAGGGGCGTGTACTATTCAAAGATGTATACGTCATATACCTGTCGGGAGGCTTCCGTCAGGACTTGCAATATGATGTGCGATGAGGAAGTGGGACCACCAGTTCACACTGCCTGCCGCTTTGCGTACCCAGCCAATTGTGGGCTTAATGTATGGCTCAAGTGCTCCCTGGTGGTTTGTACAGTCCCTCTGTAACACATCCCTTAGCTTAAACAATACACAACCCTCTTGTACTCGTCCCCCTTTTTATGGGTATCCTTCAGGCCTGACACTTATGCTTAACTCACACACGTCCAGGTTTCTCTTTGACTTAAATTTGGAACAGAACCAGGATGTGTCTGAGAGGAAAAGAGACTTCCATCCCTAGCCTAATGAGGTGGTAAAGAAAACATACTCACCCCTCTTGGATGTCAGTCTCTAGCCCCATCCAGCTCACAAGCCTGGATCCCGGACGAGCCCCCAAATTATTGAAACAGATTCTGGACACCGTGTCTGAAGCAAGCAGAAGGATTTATTAACACACAGCGCTGAGTGTGGAGTGTCACTTCACTTGTTAGGCTTGGTGAACACTGCCAGACAATAGATTACAACTAATTATATAGGATGCTTAATGAGCAGATGAAGTGATGGGGGTGGGGCAGGGGAATCCCGGACCCCTGGATAGGGGCTAATCATGAGGCAAAAGGAGAGCAATAATCTAAAGGTTACATAGTGTTTTCCACCCATAACTTACAGAATACCTTATATCTAGTTAAACAAGTATTTAAACAAAGCAGACATCAATTATCAATTATGTGTTAAGTGGTGATGTGTCTGTCAGCTTCAGGAAGGTATCTCTGCACAGATGTGATCCATTGGTGATGCATCAGGGGGTTAAAGAAGAGACATTAGGAGTACTTGAGAATTGTGCATTTGTTCCTAGCACCGTTGGATGTCTCATGTCCTGTCTCTCATCCTAGGTCGTTAGCTCTCTGATGACCTTCCTACAATGGGCTAGGCGGGGGGAGGGGTAACCATCATGTTCTGTGTTTGTGTGCCAGTTCCAGATTTGAAATTTAGAATAGGGGTTCTTAACAGAATATCATAGACTGCCTCAGAAATTTTTACCCTATACTTCAAAAGGCTACTTCTCCCAAGCTGAGGAAATCATCAGCAAAACATAACATAAGAACATAAGAACGGCCGTACTGGGTCAGAACAAAGGTCCTTCTAGCCCAGTATCCTGTCTGCCGATAGTGGCCAGCACCAGGTGCCCCAGAGAGGGTGGACCGAAGACAATGATCAAGCGATTTGTCTCCTGCCATCTCTCTCCAGCCTCTGACAAACAGAGGCCAAGGACGCCATTTTACCCCTGGCTAATAGCCTTTTATGGACCTAACCTCCATGAAATTATCTAGCTTCTCTTTAAACTCTATTATAGTCCTAGCCTTCACCGCCTCCTCTGGCATGGAGTTCCACAGGTTGACTACACGCTGTGTGAAGAAGAACTTTCTTTTATTAGTTTAAAACCTGCTACCCATTAAAAGGGATTGAGAGGAAAGCTTGAGACAGAAAAACAGGCATGTAACTTGGGAGGGCTTTAAAAAGAGTTTATTAGACAGCGAGCAATCCACAATTCCACAGTCGAGAAATTGGACGGACAGCAATTGCGGGGGGAAGTAATATATCATATCACTAATGGGGAAAAAGGGAGCTAGACAGCAAGTGACGCCTATAACAAAGGTTATTAAGTATATTAAGAACAGAAGACATATTAATAAAGATGTACCTCTTAGAGAGAGAAAGGGAACTTGTTGTTACAGAAATGCTAGATGTGTGCATGTCTAGCTTGTGCATGACTCAAAGGGAGGGAAAACAGTGATAATGAGGAGGCCACACGGGCCTATCACTTATGTGGTGCTTTTGGTGAGCTGGAACCATGCAAGTAAAATATTCTAATAAGGGCACACACAAGGCTATCCACTCAGAATAGCTCTCTATTATGGAACGTGGAGACCCTGAAAAAGAAACAGGAGGGTGCCGAGCGGAAGCAGGGGAAGGAGTTTATCCTGTATATCCATTGGTGAAAATGACTGCATCTCGTCCTGAGGTTCTCATTTCCAAATGAGAAAAATTTGAAGAGGGTACACAAAAGAGCCACACAACTGATTGGGGGCCTAAGAAAAATGCATGCGAGAGAGAGATATCATAAAGAGCTTCATCTATTTCTATTATGAAAAAGATGATCAAGTAGAGACTTTGATGGATCCGGAAGAAAAGGGCAAAGCACGGCTCAATGGCTAGAAACTGAAGCCAGACAAATTCCAGTTGGAAATCAGGGCCAAATATTTAACACAGTGGCTTATTAATTGGAGATGCATTAACAGGAGTGTTGTGAGCAAGACACGAGAAGCCATTCTTCCCCTCTACTCTGTGCTGAGGGGGTTCATTCAATCTCTAGCAGAGAAAGAGGCATCTGAATGTAAACTTACAACGACACAAGTCTTGGGAGGAGTGGGCAATCCGCATGGATTGAGTATGAAACTGGAAGGAAGCTGCCCTGGAGATGATCCTTCTCTCATCCAGAACAACCACCCAGTTTGGTACGTGGACTGTTCGGACCATGTATCAAGCGGGGACGACAGCACAGATTGCAGTGGAGATGAAATAGTACAAGCTTGCAGTTTTGGGCTTGTTTGAGACAAGGTGGACACAATCTAGACAGTTACGCCTGCAACAGGTGATACCCTCATCTACTCAGGCCATGAAGAAGAGGACACACGACACACAGAAGGGGCACATCTAGACTATATGGCTCCGTTGACGGAGCCATGTAGATTTGTTGACATGGCAAAGGGAAATGAAGAGGTGATTTAAATAATCTCTGCTTCATTTAAATTAAAATGGCTGTCGCACTGTGCCTATCAGCTGTTTGGCGGAACAGAGCTGTAGTCTGGACGCTCTGCGGTTGACATCAAAGGCATTTGTCGATCTCCCTGGTAAACCTCCTCCCACGAGGAATAACGGGGAGGTCGACAAATGCTTTTTATGTTGACGGCGGAGCGTCCAGATTACAGCGCCGTGCCACCAAACTGCTGATTAGCACAGAACGGCAGCCATTTTAATTTAAATGAAGCGTCGATTATTTAAATCGCCACTTCATTTTCCTATGTCTACAACCCTAACCTACATGGCTCTGTCGATGGAGCCATGTAGTCTAGACGCGCCCAAGGTGTGGGCTTGATGTCATCAAGAGAGGCATCTGGTGCTCTAATGGGGTAGACAGAAGAATCATCACGCATCATGACAGCAAGATTCTACACCAAAGTGCAGAAGGTACCAACGAAGCAGCTGAGGAATGTAAAACAGACTTCTATGACTAACTGCAATGTGTTGTGAATCAGAAAGCAAAGAAGGATAACTTGATTTTGATGGGTGACTTCAATGCGAAAATAGGAAGCATAAATACATGCAGAGAGCAGATCATGGGAAGAGAAGGCCTAGATAACATGAATGAAAATGGTGAGTGCTTCAGTGACTTTTGTCCCTTCAACGGTTTGGTGATAGGTGGTAGTGCTGTTCCACAGAAAAGGATCCATAAGGTCACTTGCATTTCACCGGGTCACCAGTCAGAAAATATAACA